TTATTTATTTATTTATTTATTTATTTATTTATTTATTTATTTATTTATTTATTTATTTATTTATTTATTTATTTATTTATTTATTTATTTATTTATTTATTTATTTATTTATTTATTTATTTATTTATTTATTTATTTATTTATTTATTTATTTATTTATTTATTTATTTATTTATTTATTTATTTATTTATTTATTTATTTATTTATTTATTTATTTATTTATTTATTTATTTATTTATTTATTTATTTATTTATTTATTTATTTATTTATTTATTTATTTATTTATTTATTTATTTATTTATTTATTTATTTATTTATTTATTGTGTGATGAAATTCTAGTTTTACATGCATTGTATACACTGTTTACGACTTAGAGTTTTAAATTTTAAATGCCACAAATCAGTGTTGCACTTATTTATTTGCGAAAAAATTCCCTCCTATTTTTTCCCTCCAGGTGTTACGAATTATGAAATACTTGGTTGTCAATGGAAATGTTGAATTCAGCCAGGGTTTACGGAGATCTTCAAAAGGCATTAAAGAAGCTATGAGTAAGTTGACATAACTTGAAATTTTGGTTTATCGTTTGTTAAAATTTTCACATGATATGAGAGTTGGCAATGGTAGTTAATTAGTACTTTGAAACTTGTTCTAAACATCAAAACAGATTGAGGAAATTGTTTAGTTTATAAACGTGCTGATTTGTGAAGATTTTTTGTACACTTATAAGCAGATCTGTGTTGAAGGTAATTAAAAATTGTGATTTACATATTTGTTTTTCTAGGTTTTTCAGGACAATCAGATCCATTACATGGACAGGCACCATATCTTGCAGTTAGAAAAGCTGCTGTGGTGAGTGGTGTTCATTGCATTATTATGCTACAAACATATTTCATACTTACAGTCTCATTAGGGAGATATGCTCTGACTATATCATTAAAAGTAGAAGAAATCATGATTTTGACAAGTATTTTAAATATTTTGGAATTTGGGTGATATTTAGTTTATCATAGAATCTGTCAAGGAATATACTGGGAAATAAACAAAAAAATAGTACATTTGTGAAATATTGTTCTGGAACATGTACAGCTGGCCTCAACAACTGCATGTCCCTGAATATGAATATGAATCTCAACTCTGCTGCTTCTCTCATTAGAATCCATAAAAATGGTTGTTTACAGATTTTCAGATGATAAAATAATATTTGAAGACTCACCTTTTCACCAACAATTGTTGCAATGTTAAGTTACCATAAACTTTATTCAACTACATAAATTCCATGAAGGAATTATAAGGATTACATAGCACAAAAAAAAAAAACATACTACAACAATTGATATTCAACTAAAAACAGATGAGAAATAATAAAGGTTACTGTTTAAAAATTTAAAATTACTGGAACAAACTATGTATCTGTGGAAAATATTTGAGATCATAGCCACATATGAGTGACACTGTCATGGAGTGTCTGCCATCTTTCCAAATGAAGAAGGTGTATTCATTGATCTTTCTTTTATTTCAGGAGCTATCAGAAATTCTTTTTGATACTGAGAGTAAATTTGCTAAACAAAGTGTTTCATCTGTGAAAGGTAGCGTATCGCTCCTTTTGGGTCAATCTCTGATAAGTGCGAACTGTGGTCAGTAAATATTTTTGACATTGAGATTTAATAACAGATGATCAACTGTACTGCATTATATGAACTCTATGTAATGCAGTAATTCCTTGTCTACTTTGCCAATTGTATTAGCACTTTCAAAAGGTGATTTAATATAAAACAAGGCCGTATGGTTGCCTATAAATATAAGTCACCATTTAATAAAAGAAAAAAAAAATGAAAAAATAAATCACCATGAAAGTCTACTACATCTTTAATTAATCAGAATTTTCATCTACCGTAAATTGGGACAAATATAGTACCAGAATATCGACAGAAAACAAACTCTAACATTTAAATTGCTTGCTTTCATTTATCATAACAGTTGATACTGGCATTGGCTCTGTTTCATCAAGCGGCAAAATGGAAGGTTTTGGAAACACTGTAAATGTTCCACAAAGTGAGTATGATTTGGTTCATAGAGAGTATTTGGTCAGAACTGAAAATGAGTGGTGAATGTAATTAATACACATCAAAATCAATTCTAATCTGATATGTACGTTGGTTTTACTGGATGCCATTTGCATAGATACAAATATAGAACCAACAGCTGATCAGTTGCATGATGGGATTGAATTGCATGAGCCATATGTCATATATAGTTTTCTAGATCCACCAGATGATGTGACATTTCTTGTAATTTCACCAGAATCCATTCTGGAAAACCTCAGAGACTTTGCTGAGAATATAATGGACCCCTATGCACTGATGAAATCCTCACCCCAAGAAAGGGAACGTAACCCTAAAGAGTACAGGCCACTGGTGGATGATGGAAGTAGTGCTACATCTGCAGCACCAAGATACGCTAGTAGAAGGACGGACGAATACAAGGCTATTGATGCAACAGTTAGCTCAGTGCCAGGCAACCCAGATGTGTCAAGAGTTCAACTTGGAGTCAGTAAATCGAGTAAGTGTTTGCACTGAAAGTATAACAGCACACAGAAATGCACACTCTTGTTCAGAAGTTTGTGGAACACTTCATAGTTGACCAGGAAAACTGTGATACTGTATACTAGTGTCTCAATTCGTAAACAAGAACTCATCGAAAATGTAAATCGTGATCATATGATTGATATGCATCATCAGTGTGAGATGCTATGTTTATGTTACTATCACGTGAACATGGCTGTCTCCAATTGGAGAAGTTCTAGCCAATCAAATCATCAAAGTGAATATGCATACTGTAAATGCGTTAATTATTCCCTAGGTTTTAATTTCGCTATTTTCTCTGATGAGTAAAATCTGCTCAATTAAATCTACTTGAACATGTAAAATAACAATAAAAACTCGTTGTTTCCTTGACAAATTTGTGAAATTAAAACACAGTGGATATGCTCAAAACATCAAAATTAAATGTCAGTGAAAATAAATGGTTTTACAGTAGCTTAAATTCACTACGTTCAATTACCCACCATAGACTCTGGTCAGTCAAAATGACTATTTTGAACTGTAGGCATTAATCAGCGATTCTGCCAGTGACGGAGAGATAGAATCTAGGTCAGGGGAAGCCCCATGACCCCAAGATTCTCTTTCCCTTACGTCACGAACCACGTGACCGAGCCCATATGGCGGCGCCATAGACGGCTGTACAAGCACTCTGCTTCTTCTCTGCATCGAGTGGAGATCAAGTCTAGATCTGCCTGGATCGCCTGCTATTTTTCCTGTCTGGGTTTCTAGCTTGGGTTGTTGCCGCTGCCTGGCATCCGACATTGTAGCTGGTAGGATAAGTTTTCCTTGTCATTTTTACCCTTGTGTCGTTTTTGACTCCCGTGTGCGAAGCACAAAAAGGGAGTCTTTGCAGTTAGTGTGTCCGTATGCGTGTGTGTGTGTGTATGTGTGTCCGTCTGTTTCACTGATATCTCAAGAACCATACATCAGTTTTTGATGAAACTTGGTGCATAGATGCTCTGGGCCAATGCGCAGATTTGATTAGGTTTTGGTAAAAATCCATGCATATTAATTACCTAATTTGCATGATAATTAGCTGATTTTTAGCTGTTCC